CCATCTGCTCTTTAAACGTACTGACGAGTTGGTCCCGCAACTTATTCATCGCTTCCGGATTCTTGCCTTTTTGTTGCTCTGTCAAATTACCACACAGGGAATGAGATCACTTTGTTTTTACCTTAGATCAGTCATTTGAAAATCATAGTTTCTTTGTCAAAGGAGAAGTTAAAAAGTCCTGAAATTTTCGTTAAAAATATTTAAAAACTTGGGAGCCGAGCACACTTTGGAGTCCCTCGATCTTGTGGACAGTAGAAAAAGGAAGGAGGCCATTGTGCAAAAGACACAGAACAGCTAGCTCCAGGCTTTCCAAATGGTTTTTTGGCAAATAAATAGGCATCAAATTAAAAAATTTTCAATAAAAATGGAAGCCAACTTACTTGAACTTTCATTACTTTTGTCCGCATCATGTTCAGAGATTTTGAGTTTGAGACGAAATATTTCTTTTCTTAAATCAGCAATAATGTTGGTGTACTGTGCAATGTGGTAGGATACGCTGAACTGATTTGGCTTCACCTGTCAATTAAATCAAAATGTTGTAATGAGTTTCTGAGATATTTGAACCCGTGATAGAGCGTTTTCAAGAAAAACACAGTATTGTATTAACATGCCTCTGACGTTTGCTTCAAACTTGGCTCGGGAGACTTGGCGCCTATACAAAGTAATTGCGTTTCGAAAAAAAGTTACACTTACATTAGTTTTTATGTTCTTGGCCCTATCTGCATACAGGAGTGTGTTGCGAGTTTCCTCATATGATCCACTTGCTGGACTTGCATGGGCAATCATGACTGTGCGACAGTTACCACCCAAAGAATCCTAAATGTAAAGATAAGATAAAAATGTTTTAGGAGTGTCAGACTACTTGAAAGAAGCCACATTTAAATCTACTGAAAGCAGAAGCATTCTAGTGCATTTTGTTCCACACGAAAGAGCACCGAACAGCAGGCTAACAGCTTTTATTATTCTCCATGGAATGAGAAGCTTATCCTTGCAAAGGGACCAACAACTCTAGGTGTGTTAACAATCCAGCCTAAATTTTTGGGAAATGCTGCAATAAGCAAGTCTGTTATTCTTCTCCTTCATTTTAAGGCTAAATGGCAGGGGCGGGTTAACCCTCTTGCTCTCAAGAACGACCAAACTGGCTTTTTTCTAAATAACAACAATGCAATTCTAAGCATAAGAGTTGTATGACAAACAAAGAGGAGAACTCTTAATTGGGCTCTGGCAGCAAAAAGGTTACATACTATATGAACTGTACCTTTAAAAGTCTGGTCAGTTTGCTATCTCTATAGTTGACATAATGCCCTCGATTTTCACCTGAGGAGAGTCAAAGAAAGGCAAGACAACATTCAGTATTCTAAAAATTATTTTCTGAACAATTAGCAACTTCCTGGTTGCTCAACCAGAAAACCTATGTAGATCTTAAAATTGATAATATTAATTTTTGAAGAATACAATGCAAAAATCAATAATCAAAGAAATACAGAAAA